TACCCAAATTTTATTAGTAATGCGTTATATTATATTACGATATATTACGTTACAGCAAAAAGTAATATACTACTGTAATATTTTTACTTTTGTAATGCGTTACTCCCAACACTGCACATGAATTAGTACTCGAATGTCTTGAGTCTTAACCAGGAACATACTCTTAGTTGAATGAACTTACCCCAGGACGCGTTTTTGGAACCACATATCTCGAGTAAGCAAAGTTTGGGGTTAATCAACTGAAAGTTCAGGGTTTAGCTGACGGTAAGTTAACTGTGCTTTCTGGAATAGCCTACACCCCTGATCCACCACCACACGCGTGTACAGATTTCTCTTGAGAGCGCACAGATCATTGCTCATTAATGTTGTTCGTTTTGAAATAATAAAAACGAAATAAAGTCTATATTTACAATATATATATATATCAGTAAAATAACCAAAAGATAGTTGTGAGACCACCACGGACAAAAAGCCTATAGACTTCCACCAGCTTTTCCGGTTCCAGTCTTCCTTCCTCCAGTTTCTATCTGAAGGGTGTGGGATCGTTTAGTGTTTACTTTTGTTGAACGAAAAAAGCAACCTATGACCCGCCAAAGTTCGGTTGACTCTCTACCTGCGCTTCCTCAAAAAAAAAAACAGTTTCGTTACCCGCGGGATTCTTTCTCTGGTGCTGTTTTGCGGTGTTGGTAAATTCACCACTTAATTTTGAGTTAATATGTTGTTGTAACTTGCGTTACTGAGATTGTAACGAGTAATATTATTACCCAAATTTTATTAGTAATGCGTTATATTACTGCGTTACAGCAAAAAGTAATATACTACTGTAATATTTTTACTTTTGTAATGCGTTACTCCCAACACTGCACATGAATTAGTACTCTCTCTCTCTCTCTCTCTCTCGGAGTTGTTAACTTTAGCTCTTCCTACATAAACAAACTCATACTGTATGAAATTATTTACAAGCCACAGGCTCTTACCTTTATGAGCAAAATTGACGGCGTATTTGAAGTTGTTTTGAAGTTGAATTTGTGATGATTTGAGAAGGCAAAATTGATCAAAAATAAGATCAATGTCCCGCTGGCCGCTTGAAACATTTTTTTTGAATCCAACAAGCAAAAAATGTTCCAAACATATTTCTAAATTAACTTTAGAACTCTATAAAGAACACTATAACTCTATAAAGAAATATAACCACTTTGCTATTAAAAACAAAACTGAGCTATTTTAATTGCTGCATCAGCAGCTGTGTACTGGGAGGAAGAGAGAGAGAGAGAGAGAGAGAGAGAGAGAAGACACGGGTTCCAGTCAGACTCAGGCCAGTAATTCTGAGAAGCTGTCGGACAAAGGCCGAGCTATAGGTCGTTACGATTTTTTGCAAGGAATGTTTAATATTTAATATTCTTATTTAGGCTACTTTCTTATTCAACTATATTATTTATTTGATATTTAGCCTATTTTAGAGTTCTGTAGGCTGCACGTTTGTTAATATGTCTGAGCCTCATTTAAAATCTGATTGGACCATTAAAAAAAAGGATATCTGTAATTTCAAATATACACACTACTTAAATGGCTACGCTTTTATCTTTGAAGGAGGTTTTTTTTATAGACATTCAACAAACTGTATTAAAGTATAAGTTTTGACAGTTAAAATTTGAAATCTTAACCATGCTAAAACAGACTATTGCTCTCTCTCTTTCTTTCGTTTTCTTTCTTTGCAGGCATGCATGATTTTTAACTTCAACCTAGAGAAGATGGACAGTTATAGGTTCAATCATAATTTTATGTACACGTGCAAATTTGTACATACAATTTTGTCTACTCTTAAAAATAAAGGTGCTTCACGATGCCATAGAAGAACCTTTGGTCACACTTGTAACTTGCGTTACTGAGATTGTAACGAGTAATAATATTACCCAAATTTTATTAGTAATGCGTTATATTATATTACGATATATTACGTTACAGCAAAAAGTAATATACTACTGTAATATTTTTACTTTTGTAATGCGTTACTCCCAACACTGCACATGAATTAGTACTCTCTCTCTCTCTCTCTCTCTCTCTCTCTCTCTCGGAGTTGTTAACTTTAGCTCTTCCTACATAAACAAACTCATACTGTATGAAATTATTTACGTGCTCTTCATTTCAGAAACAATTTTATGAAAAATAATCCTCATGGAAGAATGATTAATATATCGTTTGTTTTTGTAAACCGAAATGAACAAGTTTTTTTTATTGTAGTCTATCGAGCACGTGCTTTCTATAAATGTTTAGAAGTTGTTATTAAACGGAGCCAAATTTAGTGCCAAAATGTAGCTTTTTTATGCCCGAAACTATTTTGAATATGTAGATAATTTGAGAACAACACTTCAGTCAACTTACCACTTTCTTAATAAAGTCTATATTTACAATATATATATATATCAGTAAAATAACCAAAAGATAGTTGTGAGACCACCACGGACAAAAAGCCTATAGACTTCCACCAGCTTTTCCGGTTCCAGTCTTCCTTCCTCCAGTTTCTATCTGAAGGGTGTGGGATCGTTTAGTGTTTACTTTTGTTGAACGAAAAAAGCAACCTATGACCCGCCAAAGTTCGGTTGACTCTCTACCTGCGCTTCCTCAAAAAAAAAAAACAGTTTCGGTTCATCAAGACTTCAGTAAGCGCATCCGGTTTGTTGTCCTTATTTTACAAAAGCACAACGTTTTGTTGATATTGTGAGTGCACATAAATAGAAGTAGACCCTTTAGCGTTCCGGATGTTACGTTACTCTCTCTTACCTTTATGAGCAAAATTGACGGCGTATTTGAAGTTGTTTTGAAGTTGAATTTGTGATGATTTGAGAAGGCAAAATTGATCAAAAATAAGATCAATGTCCCGCTGGCCGCTTGAAACATTTTTTTTGAATCCAACAAGCAAAAAATGTTCCAAACATATTTCTAAATTAACTTTAGAACTCTATAAAGAACACTATAACTCTATAAAGAAATATAACCACTTTGCTATTAAAAACAAAACTGAGCTATTTTAATTGCTGCATCAGCAGCTGCAAAACGATTCATACTTAAATATGAATTCTGCATGTCTCTGTGTTAATGAATGGCGCAGACGCGCGGTTTTGTGAAGTACTCGTACTGAAACGCTCGTGCCGCTTCCGGTGATATTAACGTCTGCCGTCTCACTAATGAGGACATAAATACACAAACCAGGCTGCTACTACTACTACTAAAATTATTAAAACCTTATTTTTAAGGAATAAGCATTCAATATTTCTTCAATGTTTTAATTGTAACATTAAATGACCTTTATTTTCCAAAAAATTCAATGTGCTTAATTTTCATTACTTAAAAGATAGATTAAATTAATGTTTTATGCCTTAAAACAAAATGTACAGAATACACAACACAGAATTTCTGAGCAAAACAAATCATAAGGCTATTGTAAGAATAAATGAAACTTGTTTTATGCTTTCAAATTAGACATGCTAAAACAGAATTTGGTTACAATAAAACATAAGGTTGGACAAATAAAACATTTCATAGGGCCCTAAACGTAATATTTGTTAAACTTTTAATAAATTGATGTTAAATTGTTTAAGTTTCATGATTTTAATTAGACATGCTTTTTGATTAATAAAATGTAATTTAATCATTAAAAAGGAGTCCAGAAAAAAAAAAACGGAATCTACCCCTCCAAAGCTGTAAACCTATAGGTGAAACACTGAGGTATTTTTACAAATATAAGTACAATGTAAAAACATGTACACTATAAGTGCATTGTATCAAATTATTAATTTAAATGCAAGTACATAGTAGTTAAGGCCACTTAATATAAAATGGGACCAAACCTTTTTTGTCTAAATGGTTCCATAAAAAAACATTTCATAAAATGTTCTTTGTGGCGAAAGAAGGTTCTTCAGATTATAAAAAGGTAAGAAAGAGATGGTTCTTTAAAGAACCTTTGACTGAATGGTTCTTTGTGGAACCAAAATTGTGGCATTGCCGTGAAGAACCTTTTAAGCACCTTTATTTATAAGAGTGTATATCTGTGCAATGGAATCTTCTTCTCACCCAAAACAAATCCCGTGTGTTCAAAAATACTTGCCAATAAATCTCTTTCGCATTCTGCTAAATAGTACTTTTTCTGATACTCTTCACACAAAAGGAGGAAGATCAAATATTGGTTCGAATAAATATGATTTTAAACCGGATGGAACAATGGTTCTATAAGAGGATTGCACTTTGCAGGGATTCATATATTCACAGGGCCCTATAATAACAGGAGTGCCAGGGAGCCCTCCTACTAGATGAAGATCCTTGTCTAAGAGGCCTTAGGTTATATGGGACCCATATATTAAAAATACATAAACATTTGTTTTCATTGTTGTTGGCTTTTCTGTACCAAACTGGATGGCGCACCCTTGAGGCCCAGGGTCTTAATTTATTCACTAATAATCTTCATCTATTAGCAAACTCTCAGTAATTTTCAGTTGAAAATAACCGAGCCGATTATTTTATTTTTTTTAACAACTTCAGTGCACCATCATTATTAAATCCTACAGCAGATACCAACCAGCATATTCTTTGAAGTTTTTTTGTGTTACACAGGGGAAAAGTCAGATGTTTGGAACATCATGAAGACGAGTAAATGATGAAGGATTATTCATGTTTGAGTGAACCAAATCAAATTGACATTCAAACAAACACAAACCTACACAATTTATTACAAAATATCTGCAAGAAATCGAATCCGTACAAATGCTGACTTAACACAGATCTTTTATTTGTCAAAAAAAGAAAAAAAAAAGTTGGAGTTAAAAAAAAAACAGACTGAAGGATAGAGGAAGAGTCTGGTATATCTGCTGCAGGTCAGTCACATTACATTATACAGAGATGATCGCATCAGCCAAGCTTTTTACAGCGGTAGTTTGACATCTTTTCCCACAAATTCTTAAGAGATTAAACTTTCTTAGAATGCATCTAGATTTGCATGTTTGGTGTTGGGCCATAAGTAACAGTTCAGCAAAAGAAATGAGTTAAATGTGGATAGACCATAGCACCCAAGCATTTTTAAAGGGAAAAATAGAGAATCAAAAGTATGAGGAAATTTCAAGTGAAACGAAGGGAGCTGGTTCTACAGCAACCAGCTGCTGAGGGGTGGCTAGTACCATCTATAATGTTCCTCAAGACACATCTGAAAATAAAGAGAGACAATAATCAGAATTTGGACAAACAAGAAAAATGAATGTGGGAGAAAAAAAAAATGAATATGACAATGTTAATGGCTTGCTAATAGAGGAATTTAATATACTTACAGCTTGCAGGCCTGGCGCCATATCTTCGCATAATCTGATCCTGTGTGAATTTCACAAAGGACTCATATTGTTCTTGAGGTAAAAAGAAAAACAGCACATTAAGAACACAATTCAGTCAATTCAGCTAATACATTACTGTGTGGAATCTGCAATGTGTTGTACCTGCAAGCTTTGTGTTCAGTATCTGTTCATACTCTTCGCGCATCTTCTCCTCATGATCTTTAATAAGGCGCTCGCACAAATAGCCAACCTGCCTCAGCGTGAACAGTGGCTGATCCTTCTTCAATGATGAGGCACCTAAAAACATACACACGAATCGGAATATCCATCCTTGACCATGTCACTTTATTTTCAAAATTACAAAATCCCTACACCACAGTTCAAACTAATTGTGTTTTTTTAAAGAACTCTTATGGTCACCAAGGCTATATTATTACAATTGAAAGTAACTCCTTTTTTGATATTTTTTATAAATGTAATTTATTCCGGTGATGGCAAAGCTGAAAGTATAGAAATCTCTCCAATATCCTGATTTGGTGCTCAAGTAACATTTCTTTTCTATGTTTTTTTCAGTTTTTCTATGCAATATTTGAGTGGAAACCATGATAATTGTTAAATATTTTGTAACAAATGATAAAAAGTGACAGCAAAGACAAATTTGATGCATCCTTGCTGAATCAAGGTATTAATGTTCTTAAAAATATATATAAAAAAACTGTCACAGTTATCATGGGATGTTTCTCACCCTCATGACAAATCACAACACTTGCTACTGATAAACCACCTTTTTAATGGTGAAACTGTTCGCATGTGATCAGTTTGTGCTTTTTTGCCATAACTCATCTCTCTCTTACATTTCTGTGTATTCAAACATGAAAGAATCATCACCATTCGACTTTACTGACAACAAATTTGGCACACTGTATCTTCACACTCCACATTATACCTTCCTGTAAAGTGCAGCTACAATCCTAATCAAAAGCATCTGATCCAGCTAATTAAAACATTCAGGAACATTTAGTAACTACAGCTGGTGTGTTGGAACAGGGTTGCAACTGAATTGCAGAAGATTTCCAGGAACAAAACTAGCCACCCGTGGTGTAAATAAAATGATTGATAAATGGTTTGAGCACTACAACAACCCCACCCCACCACACCCCAACTAAGCACAAGTCTCAACACACCTAATTCAGGTCATCGGCTCCTTTGTTTCATGAGTGTGCCAGACAAAGGAGACATTCAAACTGTGCAGTGTTGGGGCAGGAGGGCTTCAGGAACAAGTCTGAAACCACTGGACATTATGTCTTGAGTGGACTGACCTGTGGGAGAGCTGGGGGAGGTGAGGGCCGGACTGGAGCTCTGGATATCAGTGGAGCTGCAGGGCTCAGTCTGGTTAAAGGCCCCTTCCAACTGCCGTCGCCTCTGATAACGGTTGTACTCCTGACGAATGTTCTGGAAGATCTGCTCTGTGAGGGTCAAAGAAAGACAATCGAGAGTTAATAACAATGATAATTGAGCTTAAATTAAAGAGAGAGAAAAAAAATAAAAAATCCGTGTCCCCCCCCCACCACCAAGTTTTTCTGGAATTCCATAATTTCCAAGGAATAAACTTCCTTATGTTCAATCATCTTCAAAAACAAAGTAGTGAAGAACAACAGTAATCACTGGCGTTACTTCTTCAAGCGCACACAATGCACAGAGGATATCCTGCTTTCAGCACAGATCCCATGACGAAAAGAAAGAGGGAAGAAATAAGTTTCACTTCAGTTTTACAATCAGCCACAATGGTACACTGACAACGTCACTAGCAAACACATACAAGAGAAAAACGGGATGGCTTTAAGGTGGGTCAGGCTTATTTCTGGAAACCAAATCTGGGTGACAGGACTGCAATGCGGAGGGGAGCAATGCAACCGGGAACATCCTGAGTCTCTTTCTAGAAAAACTGGGTTGAGTTTGGTCTTAACCTTCAACCAGTGGACGAAAATTAGAATTAGAAACCAGCATGACTTTCGTGAGCTATACTCTATAAAATTATCTTCTCTAGTCGTCTTAATTTATCACAAAGGAGAGTATTATTTGGAGGGCGAGTATCTTATCTTCCTGAATGTAGGTCATTTAAAGCTTTAAGGGTAGACATCTATCTGAGGATGTTTGCATCACTTATCTTGGGTGGGGTGCTCGGAGTTTACCCTTCTATTAGCATCGGCCTTCAACTAAAGGACGGAAAAAGGGGAAAACTCAAGGAGTGCCAGCTTCTCTAGCTTGATGCTAATGCATTCCAGCAAAGCAGGCAGTGTGACTACAACCTAACAAAGAGCCTCACTGCAGAAGAGACTTCCTGTTTACAATGTAGCTCTCATCTGATTGGTTTTTATTAGTTTAAACACAGGAAGGCTTAGAGTTCCCAATAAAGAGGTGTTATGGGGGCTCAAGCGCAACTTTACACCAGCGTTCACTCTAGAAAGGAGTACATTAGAAGAAAAAGACTCACTAATGAAGTGTAGATAATCTCTTATTGAGGGTTCTTCCTCACAATAGAGGTACTTACTTGATGACAACAGCACTACTAATGTACATTGTACGGTTCTGGCCCAAAAAAAATAAAAAATAATAAAATAAAAGGCCAAGTTAAATAGGACAAGTTCACCCAAACATTAAAATTCTGTCATCAGGTACTTGTCCTCATGTCCTTCTAAACCTGTATGACTCCCTTCTGTGAAACACGAGACGATATTTTGAAAAACAAATCTTTTTGGGGGTGAGTGGCACCCAATGTTGCTTTGCATGGTGAAAAGTTTTTGTGTGTCTTGCAGAATAGGGCTACAACTACTAAATAAAAATCAATGAAAAAAAAAACTAAATCTGATTAATCGTTGAATCGCCTTAATGCACTATACAAGAAAAACATTTCTATGGACTACCCATCTTGAAAACAGCGGAGGGTGCAGAATAAGATGCTGCGAGAAAAGTGCATAGCCTAAGATGACTTAAACATAAAAATGTGCCATTAAGCACTTCAAACAAAGCATGTAGTTTAACTCGACTTGCCCTCTCACTCAAGATCTGTTTTCCTCAGCCCACAACTTCAATTTTACGATTGCATCCTTATCTACTTAAAGGGGTCATATGATGCCATTTCAATTTTTCCTTTCTCTTTGAAGTGATACAAGCTCTTGGTGCATAAAGAAAATCTGTAAAGTTGCAAAGACTAAAGTCTCAAATCCAAAGAGATATTCTTTATAAAAGTTAAGTCAACCACGCCTACCTAAAACGGCTCGTTCTAACACGCCCCCACATGCCTACGTCATGATGTAGGAAGACTTGCATAACGCCGCCCAAATGTTCACGCAAAGAAAGGCGTAACTTTTACTCTAGCTGTAGTATTGTTGCTGCCACCATGTCATGAAGATGCGGTTTCGTTGTGAAAGCGAAACTACTTTGTTTGGCCTTCCAAAAGAGGACGGTATCCACTTCGTCATGCCTAGAGCTGTTCCGTGCTGGTCGCTGAGGAAATATATCAACTTCACGCTGTGGATTGCAGGATCGGCTTTCACTGTGGCCAAAGCAGAGTACAGCCCTACTTTGTTTGGCCTTCCAAAAGAGGACACGAATAGAAATCAGTGGTTAAGTTGTATTTACAACACTGTTCCAGAACAGTTCAACCCAAATATTCAGATGTGTGAAGCACATTTTATGGAGGACTGTTTCCTGATCCTGGAAGAGTAGACTACAATGCCGGCTGTTCTGACTCACAGACTGCAAGTAAATTTTTTATATTAAAGAATTTGCCACCGAGGATTCAAATGCAAGTTTTGAGTCTTGTTGTTTGTCATTTGCAGACATGATTTTGTGTTTACGCAGCACGCTGCAACGCGTAAAAAGACATTATAATCCGTAATTATGTCCCCACTGGATGCAACAAATGCCTAGTTTATAATGGGTTTTAATGTTTTTGTCTCGTCGCTCCGGCCGGGACACAGGGCATCACAGTATGGTAAGGGGCGTAACATTTCAGTCACACGATTCGGCCAATCACAACGCACTGGATAGCTGGCCAAACACAGCACACCTCCTTTTTCAGACCGATGAGCTTTGTAAAAATCGACACGTTTCAGAAAGGCGGGGCATAGAGGAGAAACAATAATGTACAGTATGTGGAAAAATGTTTTTTGAACCTTAAACCGCATAAACATTTCATTACACCAAATAAATGTTCTTTTTAGCAACATATGACCCCTTTAAATCTAGGGCTGCACGATTAATCAAATGCAATTGTCATGCGCATCTTGTCAGTAAAGCCGGTTCTGTAATCAGTAGTAAATCTCCATCACATGCTTTCAAATGGAGCAGCATTTACTACACAGAGCCGTAGTTCACTGACAAGCTACGCAATATCGCGTTCATAATCGCGCAATGAAATCGAAGAAATCGTTCCGCGATTATGAAAGCTGTTTGCGTCGCTTGTCAGTGAACTACGGCTCTGTGTAGCGAATGCTGTTCCATCTGAAAGCACGTGAAAATACCATTTACTAACATGTTTTTACTCCAAATTCACTTCATAACGTCAGACGAGTGTTTGAAATAAATCCTTCTGTGAGATGTGGCTTCTTGCACAATAAGACACGCAACATATTTCATAGTATTCCAAGCAGTGATAAAGGTTATGCAGTGATATAATGTCGATTAGCATTGCATTATTATTATATACTTCATTATAATAAAAATTATAATAAGATGAACTCAGATAAACAAAATATATTGTCGTAGTCGTGTGTTTCGTCACATTGAATCAATGAAAGCAGTAAAATCTTCTGTTTATTCAGCAACCGCTATAGGAATTTCTTGTTTTCTTCTGCGGGGCGTATTTGGAGTTCCAGTGCGAAAGCGCCCTCTGATTTTGGATGGAGATTTACTACTGATCACAGAACCGTACTTCACTGAAAGATACGCATGAAAACCGCAGCTTCTGCCTAATCGCCATTTATCGCCTTTCAAATTTAATTGATTAATCGTGCAGCCCTACTTAAATCTCTGTTCAACTTTACACTATAGTAAATGAGAGCCAGGCATGCATATGCATCAAACAGTGCAATAGATTAGGCGTGCATTAATTCCGACTCAAATATACTTTTCTAAAATAACTAGTAAATGGATTTTTTAAAATTTTATTTTGAAATTTAAACAAATTAAATTAATAACCAGATTAATCAATTATCAAAAAAAATCCTTAGTTGAAACCCTACTGCAGTCCAAAGAAAATCTAACAGGTTTTGGATGCCATGAGAATGAGAAAAATAAATATTTCTGATTATGCAAAAGTCAATTTTAGATACTACAGCTACAGAAATATGCAAGAAATTGTCAGAGACAGTTACCGGGCAACACCAGCCACCTTGAATGACAGGTGAGGCCCTCCGCCTATATCAAATGCTGAGACTAGGTCCAACGGGTTACTTAGCAACTGTAACCTTATATGGTCAAACCAAGCAATCAATCACAGTGGCTTCCTGAGAGAGGATGGGGAGCGATTCAAGGCCCAAAAGCACAGAACAGGGATAATACGACCACAATGGAGGTGTGGGATTAACTGGACTGGGGGGGAGGGGAGCGTAAGTGGGTGTAGAGTTGAGGCGTCTTATTCACTACACTGCCGAGGCTTTGAGGAGTGAATTTAAAAACCCCAAACTGGCAGGAAGTGCCCACAAGTTAAGGGGCTCAAGCCCATGGTGTGGTCCTGCAGTGAGCGTGATTCGCTTTGAGATTTGGTGTGTTGTAGATGATCACGTTAATTAGTATTAAGCAAAAGGCTTTCGTGTTTGAATGTTAGATGTTAGAACACAACAAACAGGATGAAGCAACCTCAGACATGGCTTTAAATATCAAGACAGAGGCTCATAAACAGATCCTGCGAGCTGCTGATCAAGAACATAAATGGATGATATTCAAATGTGGCTGTCAAGAAACATAAACCTAAATGAGGATATTAATGAGGGTTGTTCTATGAAAACAATAAGGGGCATTTGGCTTCACAAAGGCAAGGCTATCAAACACTTCAGTGGGCTTTAAGGGCAATTACATTCCTTGCCATTTCAACCAGGCACTGATGAGCAGGCTTGGGAACAGAGAATAAGCTCTCTGAAAATGTTCATGACATTTGTCATGCAAGATACAATCCCCCCTAGGACACTAAAGCAATTACACTGGCTGAAGGAACATAAAATGGGTTCTCTATATGGCACCTGATTAGAAATCCTTCAAAATTCACGCTATGACGCATGCCACTTAACTTTGTAAAAACAACTACTAATTTTAAACAATTATGTCACAAATCTCATTATTTAAACCAAACTGAATGAACAATCAAATTAACATGTAAATGATTATTCATAACGCTAACCAATTATTTTGCCATCTCAGAATACTAATAACAATAACAAACTTAGCATACTAACACCCCATTAGC